GCTGCTGCCTTTGCGACCGGCTCGCCCCATGCCACGCGGCCGGTCCAAGAAACACGCCTACCGAGCCAGCTTCTCCGCCGGCTACAGCGGCCAGCAGCAGCCGCAGCAGAACTACCAGTACTCCTGGCAGCCTCCTTACGACCGTCCAGAGTACTTTTCTACTCCCCGCAAGCAGCAGGCCCACCACGATCATGTAAGTCCCGATTATCATCATCACTACTACGGCCATCTTCATGGCTACGGGAAACAGACCCACCACCACCACCACCACCAGAGACAGAGACATAGACGGAAGATGCCCGTCCCGGACAGCGTGTCCGACGACGGCTCGATACCCGATCTAGATGATGACAACCACTACGACGGTTACTATCACCAGCAGCAGCCTCGCAGACGGCCCTCGGCTGCTACTGCCACCTACTACACTCGCAGACGCGCCTCGACTAACCACTACCACTATCCCCAGACAAGCTCTGCCGCTGCCGCTGCCGCTGCTGCCTACGACGATCCCCTAGACACCCCCAAACGCTCTCGCGCCCGTCGTGCTTCCACCTTCACCCGCCCAACCCACGCTGCTGCCTCTTCCGCCCACGTCGACCCCTACGCTCAGGGCCACAGAACCCCCAAGACCAAACCTTCCGCGGCCTACCACCACTCCTCGGCCTCCCAGAGCCACCACGCCGAGCCTGCCCCGCCAAAGTCGCCCCCGCGGGCCACAGAGGCAGACGCCATCCACCACAACATCCCGCCAGGCTACAGCATCAAGAACTGGAATCCCAAGGAGGCCCCCATCCTGCTGCTCGGATCGGTCTTTGACGCAAACTCCCTCGGCAAATGGATCTACGACTGGACCGCCTTCCACCACGGCGCCACCGCCCCCATGGCCGACGTCGCCGGTGACCTCTGGCTGCTCCTCATCAAGCTCGCGGGAAAAGTCAAGCGGGCCGACGAGTGTGCCCCGCTCATCCGCTCCACCGAAGCCCGCGAGATGGTCGAAGACTTCCTCGAGTCCGGCGAGCGTCTCTGGGCTCGCTTCAAGCGTCTCCTCAAGGCCTGCGAACATTTCATGTGGAAGGCCGCCAAGCGTGAAAATGCCGCCAGAGGTGGTTCCCCCGCTAACATCACCATGGGCCGCAACGCCGGATGCGAGTTCGTTGACTCCATCTTCGGTCGCGACAGAGAGCTCGAGAACACCGAGAAGCTCATGAACAGCGTCAGACTCTGGAACATGCGCTTCGACGCCAACTGCGGTGAACTCTTGCGTGAGGTTTCAAAATAGACCCCGACCACGACAACCCAACATATACCACCACTCTCAAAAACAATATACTATAACAAATTATTTCCACCAAACTTCTCCCAAAACATTCACATCTATTTACTACAGGATTTCCTTTTGAGATACCCTTACTTACTGGATTGCGTTGCGTTCTGGACGGCATTTGCATGGATGCATTTACATGGACGCGGATTGGACTTTTTTTTCCTCCATTACCACCTCCCTACCGACTACCTACTTACACCACCACCACCTATTAACCAAACCAAACCAATAGCCCATCTCGAGGCCAATCAAAAGCCCGAAAAGCCAAAATAAAAAAAAACATCCGAAAATCCCAATTCATCAAAACGATCAAAACGATCAAAATCGAAAAACTACAAAAAACTACAACCACCCACCTGCTTCTTCTCTGGATGCTGTTTGCGTGTGCGTTTTTACTTATCTGATTTGCATGGCTATTAAAGATACATTTCCTCGCCCTCACAGGCATAAAAGACATACCCTCTATACCCAATACCCCGATACCCAATCCCTTTTTCAACATCATCGACATACCCGCCATTAATCACCATCCTCTATTTTACCGACCTACTTACTACTTACAACGGTTCTGGCGCTCGCGAGTTTTACGGGATATATCCTCTTGCTCTGCTCTGCTCTGATTATTACTGCTTAGTGCTTACTACTACGTACTGCTTACTGCTTACTGCTTACTTCTGCCTCAGGTCTGTCTGTCTGGCGTTCTCAATTTCCTTGCGTCCTCTTTCCTTGCGTCTCTCTTCTGATTCTTCCTGTCGTTTCTGTCCTCGCGGTTGGATCGGGGTTGGTCGGGTCGGTTTCTGGTCTCAGGCAGGCTGGTCTTGTTTGGCTCAGATACCCATCCATCTATCGCTTGCCCTCCCTATCCATACACCGCTTATATCGTTAGCGTTTCTTATTTCCTTGCCTGTCTTGTCCTTTTATAAATCGTATTGCTTTCCAGTTGCTCCGTTCCTGTCCTTACTGCTTGCTCGACTACTGTCTACTGTTTACTGTCTACTGTCTACTTTTTCTTCTTCTCCTTGACTGATTTGAGATACCACTTCTGTTATCGTTCAAGCCATTTCTATTTCTCTTCTACTACGTCTACTTTCTTAATCTATTTTACCATTTACCTACCTAGCTAAACCACCTTCTACTCTACCACTTCGACCTCCCTCCCTTACCTACCTACCTACCTACTTATCCGCCTTACCCGTACTTACTTACCTCCCTACCTATCCACCTCACCCGTAAACCACTTCACTTCTTCTCCCTTGTACATAAACACAAGCCCTTTAATAGACAAACAATCCTAAAACATTGTAATACCTGAACCCTACCTCCCCGTCCACTTATCACCATCCCCGGCATTCATTATTCATTAATAACTCGCCGGTTCCTAGCCAGCCTAGATCTCAAGGCCGGAGATTTCTCAGTCCCAGCCACGACTCGTTCGCAGATTAAACGGGCACGAGCATGAACTGATAGGCTGGCGGGAAGCTATAAAAGATCGTTGATATAGGACCTGGGCCAAGTCCTCCCGCCCATCTGATATAAGACATCATTAATTAGACGAATCGACTAGTCAATTTACCAGCTGGTTAGTTGATATCTTCCGATGACAAGGTAAGTGGATCAGATCAATCTTCTTATTTAAAAGAAGTCAACGCAACAATCGATAAAAGACCAGCTAAGGATGGACGGGATCTTGGATCTTAGATCTGATCAATATCAACATCCTTCTATAGCTACTTAACTACTTGCCCGTAGGAGCAACAAGCTAGGTCCAGACGATGGCCCAGTCCGAAGGATGCCAGAGCATGCATCTACGATGGAGTCTGCATGTACATTACATTACATATGTCTTGCATGAGCCGGTGGACGTCCAAGACAGCTCATCAAACAGCACAGCACAGCTTATCCATGTATTCTGATCCAGCCCGGAAGACTTTGCCTCCGGTTTTCGTCTCGCCTTTGTCTGCGGCGATCCCCGTTCCGACTATCCGTCCGTTCCGTCTGGTGGTGTCTGTCTGTAGTTACTTAACTACCTGCTGTATGCAGTATGCAGCTATGCCATGAGCTCAGTCCATGCTTGGCTGCGAGAACGAGTTGGTGTATCGACGCCCAGGCAGTTTCTTCAGTTAGGCAACCATGCAGCTATCGAATATGCCGTAGAAGTATTCCGTAGAAATTGATTAATGGCCTCTTCTGCTTTGTGGGTAGTAACGAGGCTACCACTGGTGATCTAATTAACTTATCATGCTGTCTCGGTTACGTACCAAATGAGCATTCCGGCAATCAATCGATATCAAACATCTCCCTGCTGATAACTAATGCATGCATCATGAATCAGCAAACTTCCCGCGACTTTTGTCTTTCATCTTTTGTCTTTTCTCTTTGTCTTTTTATCTTCTGTTCTTTTGGTCCTTGTCCCTGTCTTTGTACTTCGTTTGCAGTCTTCTTTTTTGTAACTCTTCTGGCTGCATCTGCTGCATCAAGGTTGCAAGAGAAAGAAACAAAAGGTATACACACAAGGACAAGGACAAGGACAAGGACAAGGTCTAGGTGTCTTCTTCAATTCCCTCTTTCGTCTTCTCTCTCATCCTTCCTTTTTTCTTCTTTTCAAATCCTACAATTGCATCTTATCGCTGGCAGCCCCAAAACAAGGTCTCGTCCCCCGTCGAGGCCTTGTCCAGGGATCAACATCGCTTGTCTCGTGTGTTGCACCGCAGGCCTCGCTACTTGACTTCTTCCCTGCTCTTTTTCTTTTTCTTTCTTCTTATTCTCCTTTTGCTTCCAGCCTGCAGCGAGAATCGGTTCTTTTTGTAGATAAGTTAAGGCGTGCTGTTGCTGATCCGTGGCCCTATTTCTGATAACCATAAACTATCAAAAAAACCAACCCAGGCGACATCCGACATCCCCAAGTTGAAACAGACGAGATATTGAGATCCAGTCGAGATCATCGGCACAGTAGTCCCCTTCCTTCCGGCTTTCCGTCTCTACAGATCCAACAAAACAGTCGAACCAGCCTTGATGATCAGCCTGGCGGGTTGCACCGCACCCAGAGTCCTGGAAA